CCCCCCCCCCCGCCGCCAAAAATTTTTCGGAGTACAAAATTTTTCCGGACGAGTACGTTGCAATTGCTTTCCATGGACTTTATCTCATTTTTTTTATGCCCAAATTCAGTACTTTGCCCAAGAAACCAGATATATTGTCCTTTGCGCGGAAACATTTAACACACAAAAAAGGCTGGGGCCCAACAAAAATTTTTCAGGGGCCCCCAGCAACTCGGGGCCCGGGGCAATGTGCCCCCCCTGCCCCCCCCCCCCCCCTCTCGGCGGCCCTGGGTTAGGTAGTGCCACTACCTAACCCGCGAACAGACATACTCTGGGAGCGAGATTGAACACAGACGAGAATGATTTGTGAGATGATGACGATAGCCTATTATTCGAACTTTAGGCGATGACACTGGATTCGATGATGGTAATGTATGTAGGTATTATCTGCGCAGGGCAGCAGATCAGTATTTATTTACTTATTGCAGATTCTCATTCGGATACACAGTGTTTATATTATAAACACATATATCCTTCTCATGGACAGGGATTAACAGTATAGTCATGGTTGAGAAGCTGAAACTAACCCTGGCGGAGGAGCTGAAACGCACCCTGGCAGAGTCTGGCAAATCTATAAGAAAAAGTCAACTAGTGTGGACACGAAAAACCAGGTTGAATCGTTCCTTGTTATTCTAGATAGTGGCTAAATACCAACTTATGTCACTACATAATGTATGTAATAGTTCAAACACAAGAAGTAGAACTTTACCAGACAAAAGCCAGAACGGCTTATTATAGAATACATGTAATCTCGGTTTGAGCGTAGGCCCTTGCCCAGGATCCAATATAGGTTGGATTTTATTGCACTGACAAAAATTAGTGATTTTATGTTTCCTCCCAATTTATCTTTTTTATGATGAATTTCGAATTGGTGCCTGGGACATGTTTCTTTCAGGTTCTTCACTGGTGCAGTCCGGCTTCGTCAGTTGGAACAGGATGGTTGGAAAGAATGGAAAAGTTGGTCCAAATCCAAGATTGGTATCCATGGAATATACTTAAGCGATGGATCGAACGCACAATTTAAGAAGCGCCAAACATATCTTGCTTAGTTATTCAATAAAACATTAAAGATTCAATCAGATATTTTCCTAGGATTTGCTATTTCCTAGGATATTTTTCTGTCATATTTTTTGTCTTACCGATGTTTCTGTATGTCTATTGTCTTACCAGCGTCGGCAAACGGAGAAAGAGTGTGTCATGAAATGTTTCTGAATTTGGTAGGAAATATTTTTGCGCAAAGATATCTGTCATATTTTTTGTCTTACCAATGTCACAGTCGTCTTACCAGCGTCGGCAAACGGAGAAAGAGCGTTTCATGAAATGTTTCTGGATTTGGTAGGAAATAATTTTGCTTTCCGTGAAGCAAATTTAGGGTATTAGTAGGGCGGTAGTAATCATGTGTTTATAATATGCTCCGTCTTCCGCCATCCGTGTCCTGCCTTTTATCTGCACCCGGTAATTAAGTCCTACCGTATATAAATACTTACACATATACAGGATTAATACACCATGCATATACCATATTTCGTTAAAAAAACTATTGGATGGTCTCATAAAGCCAATTTAGACTACCCAACTTTTACCTAAAACTGTCGCATACAACCTGCTTACAACTTGAGTTGTACTGTGTAAATCAATCACACAACTCACCTACGACAACGTCAACGAGATGTGCGCTTTATTTACTCAGTACACTTTATTGAATGATTGACTTTCGGTCTCATTTTGAGACAATATTTTCTCACCTTGGTTTATTTCTAGATCGACGGTGTACCTACTGCCACTAATTAGCCAACCATGCAGCATGTACTATGTAATGTGTACCATGTTTGAAACGTAGCCAAAATCATATCTCATCATCTGCACCTGTTATTCATTCTAATTTGTATTAAATTTTCACAGCCATAACTATCAGGATACAAGGATCCTCTGGTAAAAGACGTGTGGAAATATTACACAATGGGCAATGGGGAACAATCTGTGATGATTTTTGGGACATGAATGATGCTAGGGTTGTATGTCGTCAACTTGGTTATTTAAATGCTGTTAAAGCACTTCAAGGGAGATTTGTTCCTGATGGCATTGGATGGATATGGTTAGATGATGTTACCTGTACTGGGAGCGAACAAAATCTGACCAGTTGTTCTCATGGGGGTTGGGGACGTCATAATTGCGGGCACAGTGAGGATGCCGGAGTTGAATGTTCTTCAACAGGTAAAGTTATTGTTGTGTACTGTTCCTGTTTATAGAACCCTAAGGTGTATTTAAAAACCTGCCTGGTTGCAAGGAGCGTCAATGCAAATGGTACTGGCCGCGTGGAAGTATTCTATAAAGAGCAATGGGGAAATCGCTTGCACTGGAAGTGAACAAAGTTTGACCAATTGTCCTCATAGTAGATGGGGAATTCATGATTGCGACCACCAGAGGCGGCGCTATGTGGGGGGGGGGGGGGGGGG